CATCAGTTAATACCAATCACAGCAGAGCTGACTCCTCCACAGGAGGTCAGACCTACTTTTCCCTGGATTCTGGGGGCTTCTCCCTCAGGGGTTGCCCCAGTCTCTGTTTCTCAGAGTCCAACTCACAGAGCAAATAACCCCATTTGCCCCACCAACTTTTGCTTATAACAGATGTAGTACCCCATCCTAAGATCAGGCCTGGTACATTCCCTTCTACCTAGATACTTTCAAGCCATATTGAGTCCCTGCCCATGCCTTTGGCCATCAAGGCCAAAAGTGAGAGCTGGGCATGGGTAGGTAGAAGCAAGTGAGTGACCCTCATCCACCTCACCATGTCTCTGTATCAGCTTAAGTGTAGGGTCGATGTTGGGCATTTCCAACTCTGTATCAGAGCCCTTTACAAGGCCATCCCACAGGTGTTCTCAACAACCAAGGCTCATTTCTTTCTAAACCACAGTCTCTTTGTGAGCTGCCCAGGCTCAATATTAGATTTCTCAGGACATGGCCAGAGCGGTGGTAAGGAAGTGTACTCTCTCCACACGTAGCCTTAGACAAGTCACTAGGATAAGTCACTTTCCTTCTGAGGGCCTCGGTGTCCTCAGCTGTCAAACCAGAGAGATTAACTTTACATCTTGTGATAGGGCTGGCTCTCTTTGCTCCACCACTTGTTGTGACTGCCCATGCTTTCCAGTGATGATGGGGCTGCCTGCCTGTTACCTGGAGAACAGTAATCAACCCAGAAATCTTGTTGACAAAGCTAGGGGCAGAATTTCCACTGGAAAAAAAGCAGCTTGCAGGAATATTTGTTGCTGATAAGAAGTGGAAATCTATCTAAGCAAGCCATGTGTCTCCTGCCCCACTGCCAGAGGGCTTCCCACCCCTGAAGTTTGCTCAGCTCTAAGACATTGCATTTATACCTGAGGGTGATAGAACTTTCTGGAAGAATGGGAGTTTGTAGCCCAGTTTCTAGGGCTTGATCCTCTCTCCCTTGATGCTGTAGGGTATCAGTCTATGACTTTTACAGGTTCTTAAAGAGGTATATTCCTAAAATGGCTGATTAAGAACCACTTCCTACCAGCTGCTGGGCCATCAGCCATTGAATGTGCTATTATCTGGTTGGTGGTTAAATATGTTTGGTAAGCATAGTAAATGTGCTCAGAGCTGTGGTGCTAGGGACAGAGGTTACAGAGAGCCCTGGTGGGAGCATGGACAGCCACTTGCAGGTTTTTACAAGTCCTTTCCTCCCCTGTGAAGGTCATGAAGCAGACAGAGCCTGCACTCACCCTTTCTTCCTGGAATCATGATCATGCCTGGGAAGTTTATGGGGGATATTGTTCAGAATTAAATGCAGCTCAGCCTTTCCTCCTCCACTTCTCCCCTGCTGACCCATTCACACCACAATACTGTGGGTCTTTCTATTTTATCACCACTTGCAGACTGGTTGTCTCTTGAGGAGTGAGCTCCTTTTTCTAATTTGCACAGTGACCACATGTAGAGGCCCCTCTGAGCCCTGGCCTAAAGATGGTGTGAATGGTTTAGCAGGATGATCTGAAATAAGCTGGCTAGGCTAGCCATTGAAAGCTACACGGCCCTTTATCTTTGCATAATGATGAATTTCTAAGCAGGGATCCATCCAGAAAGTAGATTGCTGTGGGACATTGTTCTCTATCAGTAAAAATAGTCAGGCATAGGTTAGAAAGCTGACTAGAATATTCTAGAAGGGATTTAAAAGGGTTGGGTTAGGTCATGATAACTGACCTTTCAATGTTGAGATTTATGTTGGGAACTACAGTCTCCTGAAGATGATTTCCAACCTTTCTCACCCATGTTTAATCTGTGTGTATGTGGAGCAAGAGGCATGGGAGAGGTCACTGAGGTGAGGTCTGCCTGACCAGTACACCTCCTCCCCTTTCCTTCATTACCCTACACTACCCCAGCTTCTTCGGGGAGATGATGCTGAGATGACTGTGGACAAAGAAAGTGGGACTATGGCAGAAATGGTACCGAAGGAGGAAAGTCCATCACCCTGGCTGGCCTTGACTCCAATAGGCCTAAGCTACATGGCAAAACGTAGAGATGACAAATGACAAGTTAGGAGGATCATACAGAGCTCATCCTCGGTGCAATCAAAGGATGGTAAAATGAGAAACATGCAAAGGGCGTGTGTGCACAAGTCCATGTGCAGCTGTGGTTGGCAGACACTTGGGCCTACTCCAGAGACAGCCCAATGCACTGTTTACTCTGTGGGTGTTAGTCTCAGGAAGAAGAATTTTCTCCTTCTTTGCAGGGAAATTGCTTAGTTTCCCATTTCCTTCTAGAAAAAGTAGGAGCTTTGAGCCAGTGTCAACAATTACAAAACCCAGTTTTGCCATACCTTCTCCACTTGGAGGGTCATCAGGGCCATTCCGACCAAAGGACATCATGCCCATCCTCTTCATTAGCATCTCAGATGAGTGGGTCTCCTTCAGGCATGTATGCTGGGGTTCATCCCAGAGTAGGGCGCGAGTCAGTTTCATTGACAGCCTTATTATGATAGGACTTCTGGTCTTGGAGCTGTATCCTTTCAGAGCTGGAGAAAACTTTAGTGGTCTGCCTCTTATTCAGCCCTGGGCCCTCTTCACAGTCACACCTCTGTCATGCTTGAGATGCTGAGAGGGTTTAGTCTGTGTACTGGAGTTGAACTGAGCCCAGGGGGAGACAAGGACTTTGCTGAAAGATGGCACCTGCTCTATGAACTGGCAAGTCAAGGTGCAGGGGAGGCAATGGTTGTGATATCAGTGACGGGCAGGAACGGTATGATCTCATTTTTTGCTAAGACAAGGTCAGGAATGGGTCATGGTCAGGAGCGGGTTGCCCTGGGGACAGCCCCATCAAAAGCAGTGGGATGTTCTCTGCTCAGAACATGATTGCATGGGTGTAGGGGGATTTATGGTAAAGGGGAATGAACTGGTTTTTTCCACCCGTCTTCTTCTTCACCCTGTGTCTGTCCCACTTTTCTATTAAACTTGCACTTGGACCCTAAAAGAACCATCTAGCAGTTAAGCAGAGGGAAAGAACCATCTGCAGAACAGAATTTCCAAGATGAGGGCTGACAGGCAGAAAGTACACCCTGGCTGAGGACTGCCAGCCTGGGGATCAACAACATTTTCCCCTTATGACCTGGGGGTTGTTTTCTGCATTACTCCCTGACTTAGTAGACTTGAAGGTTGTTTAGAGCTTAGGGTTGGAGAAATGGCTGAGAGATTTCCTATAGGAAGTGTGGCACAGTGGGAACGCAGAGCTAAGCTCTCTCATTTCAAATCCCACCTCTAAGGACTATCAGCTTCCCGGTGCCTCAGTTTTCCCATCTCTAAGACAGGGATAATAACAGTGCCTGCCTGATGAGGGTGTGGTGTGGGTTAAATGAGTGAGTAGTGTGAAGGCCCTGGAGCAGAGCCCAGACCAGAGCAATAGATGTCTGCACTGATGTCTGTCACAGGGAATGGGAGGAGTCAACCTGTCCTCATTTGCCCTTGCCTGGGCCCACGCACCACCTGCCTGGCCATGGGACCCTAGCAAGTCCCTCTAAGTGCTCTGAACTTGGGTTTTGCCATCTGTAAAAGGGGAGTGCCCTCCTCACCACAGGCTGTGGTGAGAACTAAGTGAAATAAAATGTAGATCGCTTAGCAAGCCTGGAACATGCTAGATATTCTCCAGATGTTTTGTAAAAATATTTTATTTATGGGGCTTGAGAGATAGCACAGTGGTTAAGAACACTGACTGTTCTTGAAGAAGACCCGGGTTCAAATCCCAGCACCCACATGGCAGCTAACAACTATCTATAACTCCAGTCCCAGGGGATCCGACAGCCTCTTCTGTCCTCCATGGGCATTGCACAACACAGGTGCACTTACCTACATGGAGGCAGTACATGCATATACATAAAATAAAAACAATAAATAAAATATTTTTTAAATATTTTATTATTTTTTATGTATATGACTGTTTTGCCTGCATGTGTGTAAGTACATCCATGTCATATAATGCCTATGGAGGCCAGAAGAGGGTGTCGGATCTCCTGGAACTGGAATTATGGACAGTTGTTAGCTGCCCTGTGAGTGCTGGACACCAAACCTGATTCCTCTGCAAGAGCAACTAGTGCTCTTATCTGCTGAGCCATTTCTCTGTGTGCCTGTGTGTCTGTGTACAAGTGCATGTGAGTCTGTCTGTCTTGTGGGCAGATATATAAAAGGTGAAATTCTGCCAGCCCCAAATTGGTGACCTGTAATGCCACTAAGACTCAGAGTCTGAGCCCTGGAATCGGCCCTCCCTCAGCCGTTGCAGATGCTGGGGGTGTTGAGCATGTCTGAGAAGGAGCTAAAAGTATCAGGAAACATCCTGTTTGAAAGTTGTGCATCGCTGTATTTAACCCCTGCAGTACCTCCTCAGCCTACTCCCAGTCCCCACAGACAGGAGGTCACAGACACCTGCCCTTAATGGTACTCCAAGAGGCCAGGGCCCTAGTCTGTAGTCTCAGCCAGCATAATTTCAAGCTCTGCGGGTCTCTTTTGCAATCTTGCCTGGGTTGCCTTCCAGCACTCAGCAGAGTTCCAGGCTGCTTTATGGCCCTACTTCCCAGAGCATCCCCCAAATCTGTAGGTGGGGCAACCGAGTAGCAGGGCTCCCGCAGACAGAGGACAGTGGGAGTGGGAGGAGGGCTTGCAGGAGGAAGCTGTTTGCACCTGCCCAGCTCTGGTTGCCACCCTTAGCTCCTCCCACTGTTTCAGGCCCTCTGCCTTGAGGGACAGCCTTTCTGGCTGCCGCCTGGTTCACACCCTCCCATCCCTGTCAGTGACAACGTGGCCCTCCTGCCCCAAAAGTCTTATGCTTTAAAAAGTCCAGGTCCTGAATTCACCTTGGACCATACAAAGTCTTGTATATCATGTTGGGCTCCTTGAAGAGCTGAGAGGGAGGTTGAAGATGCTGTAGATAAAATGTCTCCTCCCTTGTTCATTTCTTAGACCCTTAGGTTGGACGTATCTGTGAGACTTCCCAGAAGAGCATCCTTGACTCTACTCACCTGCCCCCTGCTCCTTCAGGTAGGTGTGTCCTCAACAGCCACAAGCTCCCTGGCCTGCTTTCTGCTTTTGAGGGGCAGGGAGGGAGGGTCATGGCAAAGTAGTGGTCAAAGGAAGGACAGGAACATTACCCAGCCTTTTATTCTTTTTATTTTTTTAATTTTATTTATTATTTTTATTTTATGTGTATGTGTGTATTACCTGCATGTAGGTAAGAGCACCCGTGTTGTGCAATGCCTGAGAAGGACAGAAGAGGCTGTCAGATCCCCTGGAACTGGAGTTACAGACAGTTGTTAGCTGCCATGTGGATGCTGGGATTCAAACCCAGGTCTTCTGCAAGAACAGTCAGTGTCCTTAACCGCTGAGCCATCTCTCTAGCCCCTATCCAGCCTTTTTAACATCAGCAAAATCTCAGGTGTGTGAGGTAGGGTTGGAAGCTAGAGCTCCAAGTCAGCACCCTACGGGGCCATCCTGTGTGTTTGATGTTGTCTTATGTCCATGCCACCTTCCTTTCTTTCTTCTGCCCTCCTTGGTCTCTTCCAGTCTCTCTGGGACTTTTAACTTTCAGGTCTTAGAGTCCTGGGTCTCCTTTCTACATCTGGATTCCCAGTAGTAGCTAATAACCACAAGCAGGGCTGGGTCTTCTCTCAGCGCCCCTCAGTGGTCCTGCTCACTGTGTCTCTCATTTAGCAGAGGTAGCCTTTCTGCCCAGTCTAGAGCAGTGCTTGGACTTCCAGCCCCAAGCAAGGAGACTCCCTGATGTGAAGCCAGTACCTCAGCCATTGCAGGACTACACCGAGCAGTGCTACGGCACTGTGGCTTGGATGGCTTGCATCACATCTGTACCACATGACCAGTGGAGGCGATGTGATGCTGATCTCTTGTTAGACTGAACTGACTGATATCCTCCCCATCTCTCATTCAAATTCCCTTTTCCCACCAAACCCACCAGTTTCTGGGAGCCTGGCTGACTCAGGCTGTGTATGTAGCAACATCACAATGTAGAACGTCTGCCAGGCTTGGGTAAAGCCACAAACATCCTAAACAGTTTTTCCTGTTACCCCATAATGATAGTGAGTTCTGCACTCTCTGCCTACATCTCAGATGCCTGCCTTGTTCTAGTAACTTGTAGGAGTCTGCTTGAACTTGGGATCATCTCACAGCCATGTTCAGCTTTTTGACATTGCCAGTCACAAAGTCCATGCTGAGAACCACACAGCTGGGTTACATTTTGAAAATAGCAAAAAAATCTTACAATGTTTTAAGCAAAGTGTATGATTTTGTGTTGGGCTGCCTTCATAGCTATCCTGGGCCACATACAGTGTGTGGGCCCCAGGTTGGACATACCTCCATACAGACAATGTTGCTGGACCCAGGCATTTTTTCTTTTAATTATTTTCAAATTAAGAGGTATTTCAGACATGTGTAAAAGTCCATATAGAACATTATATTTCAATAAGAATGAGATCTATACCTGCCACTAAAAGAAGGAGAATGTTGCTAGGGTATAATCGTGCACATTCCTGTCCCCCCAACTTTATTCATCCCTTCAAGGGCTGCCTTTGTTCTTTAAAAAAATAAAATCTGGAGCTGGAGAGATGGCTCAGCAGCTAAGAGCACTGGCTCTTCTTGCAGAGGACCCAGGTTCGAATCCCAGCACCTACATGGTGGCAAACAACCATCTGTAACTCACATTCCAGGGGATATGACACCCTCTTCTGTCCACCATGGTCACTGTGCTACACAGATACACTTGTACACATGAAGGCATAGCACTCATACACATAAAATAAATAAATAAAATAAATAAATAAATAAAATCTGTGTGCATGTGTTTATTATATTGTATTATATGTGTGTATATGTACATATGTGTACATATATCATAACTTTTAGGCATAAATCTAGCTTCAAAGGGATGGTCAGTCATGTCAATGATTACTACGTTAGTGTTCCCAGGAAAAGACATCCAAAGAGAAGGACTAAGCTCTGTCTTCTGATCAGATTCCCCCTCTCCTTTGGAGCTGACAGTACCATACCCTAGTTACCTTTGGCACAAAGCTTTTGTGAAATTAAAAACAAAAATGAAGTTCTTGTGCTGTACATTTGGCAGAATTTTCTAGAATGCCCCAGGTCTGGCTTTCTCTTGTGAGAGGTGTCATCCAATTGCATTCCTACCTGTGCTGGATGCTGTGGAGAATGCCGTGAACTCTGACAAAGCTCTGGTGAGCTTTGACATTCATGGGCCTGCCTGGACATTGCAAAGTATCTCAGTGCCTCCAGGGGCCCCAGAACCTACCTCTCACCTAGTAGTCCCTTAGATTGGGGCAGGGGCAGGTGCTCATCCTCCTTCCCAGCTTTCTCTGCTGTTTCCTCCTCACCCAAGTGACCCTCATGCCTTAGGTCAAAGATGCCACTCAGACCTGTAATGACTCTGGGAGGGTTCACACAAAATCAGGAGAACTGAGAGGCAGTAAGTCCAAGAGCCTTTTAGGGACACCTGAGGTAGCCTGGAATCATCTCTGAGCCTGAAAGCAGTCAGAGGCAGTGGACAAAGTCAAAGGTCCAATTTACCTAATGGAAGAGAGGAGCCAGGCGCTTCCTGAGAAGGGCTTCCCAGTGCCAGCACACCGTGTTCCAGCTCACTTTTCCTCAAGTATGAGATCCACGTGTAGCTATAATGCCTATTTATAAAACCATTCAGAGAACAAGATTAGCTAATTGTATATGACTCATATTATTTAGAAGGACATTCGAAATAATATAAAGTACCATTTTTTAAAAAGGATATTTTATTATATTGGTACCACTAAGGACAGGCTCCCCCCAAGGACCAGGCCCTCGAATGACAACGGATTGGGTTTGGGCTCCCCATTTTCCTCTTGGAAGCCACACCAAGCAAGACAGAGACTCTGACATACTCAAGTCTACTGACGTGGAGCCAGTGCTAGGGGGTGTGCCTGTGTTTGTTCAGACCTCCCTGAGAAGTAGACCACGTCTTCTGATGAGAACAGGGGGACACAGAGGCTAACTGCCCCACCTAAAAGATCCAGCAGATGCAGGGTGTGAATGCAGACAGTGGTGATCTCAAGCCTTGCTTTTTCTATCTGGATAGGGACAGCCATAAAACAAAGGGCTCCAAAGAACTTCTGCTCTGGCATGGCCTGGGAGAGCCACCCTCCACGACGTGGCAGGTAGCTATGCAAAGGATGCCGGCTGGACCTGGCACAGATGCTCATCCTGACTGTGGCCTGCTTGCTGTTCTTACAGGGATGGAGGCCATGGCAGCCGGCACTTCCTTGCCTGACCCTGGTGACTTTGACCGGAATGTACCCCGGATCTGTGGAGTATGCGGAGACCGAGCCACAGGCTTCCACTTCAATGCTATGACCTGTGAAGGCTGCAAGGGCTTCTTCAGGTGAGTCTTCTCCTCAACACTCCTGCCCCAAACACAGGGGAAGGAGGGGAGCAAAGCTTTCCCCGAGGAGGTTTCGTGGAACATGGCAGCTCACCCAAGCACTGCGAACAGCAGGGTCTTGGTGAGGGCTTTCTTCTCCCAACATCTTTTCAGCTCCAGTGGTGTCCTCTGACCCTTCAGAAGCCACTTTCCTGAGGCATTTGCTTCTTTCCACTGCCCTTGACCCACAGCCCCCTGCGTCGAACCAGGTCAAAGCCCCAAAATTTGGCTTTTGTGTTTACCCTCCCATCCAACACAAACTCTTCATCGGAACTAGGGAGACCGAATCTCTGGCTGGGTCACCATACCTGATTTGTCTGGTTCCTCACCCATAGCCTGCTCCTGGGTCTGAACACCAGAAACAGAATGCCAGTCAGTGTCAGGGGTGTACTGGGATTCCTGTTTGGTCAGTCAGAGCCAGTGTCTCTCTAAGCAGCTTCCACTCTTCCCATGTGAGCCCAAAATGGAAAGCACAGACAGCATGAGAAGAGTTCTGGAAAGGCCCATTGACGTTCCCACCTAAAGCGAGGAAGGGAAGGTTGGAAAGGGATAGATGGGAAGAGAGGATTTAGGAAGTGGTGAGTTTGAGAGATTAGCATTTGACATGTATTGAAGAGAGAAGAGCCTGGAAGTGAGCAGGTGGAAAAGAAGTTGTGACTGTAGGTTAGTAGACAGGAGAACAGGGCCGAATCAGGAGAGGGGAGAGCAAATCAAGTCCTGAACCAGAAAACCACGGTTGGCCTGGCTGTCTGGACCGGTGTGCCTTCCTGGCCTGGAAGCAGAGTGAACCCCAGTTCAGTCCCTCATCGGGGAAACTCCTCCAGCTCAGGTGCTTCTGACTCACCTGCCGTCTGCCCGAGAGCCGACGGTCAGGGGTTTCATGGCCTTAAGCAATTTCCATCTCTGGGCAGCAGAGTTTCTGTGGGTGCTAAGTGCCTATTTGGCCTGGCACAGGCTGCTCCCCAAGCTGGGGAACCAGAGCAGCAATGTCCCTGGCTGGAGTCCTGGTGTCACGTCTGTTGGTCTGAGGGTTACATGAAGCCCACACTTCTGGAGGGTGGACCTGACATTCTTTGTTCGAGGTGCCACCTGGACCCTTTCCTGCCAGGGCCAGAGGATAGGGCAGCCACTTTCAGGGAAATAAAGGAGAGCCTAGGTACACAGGCACTGTCATAAAACCAGTCAGTACATGGACTGGAGTGCTGGTCAGGCCATCAATTAAACATTCGTCCTCTGTCAGTCATTCTGGACGTCTCTGTTTCAGCTCACTTACAGTGTATGTGTGCTAACATCTGCCCCCTCTGTTGTGCAGTGTTAATATGAGGTTAAATGAGATGACATATAGGAAAGAGCTCTGAAAAATATGAGGTACAATATAGCATGCTACTTAGGGGCCACAGGGGCCAATGCTGGTGCCCTTAGTGGAATCCTGCTCTGAGAAAATACACACGAGTTTCTGCAGCCATCCCCTGAATTCCTCATTAGGTTTTCTTTCACTCTCTTCCTCACTCCTTTGCCAAATTTAAATAAATGTAGAGCTAGGAACTGCCCAAATTGGGCTTCTCACTAGAGATCATATGTCACCAATCCATAACCAAAATGTTCACAGCAGCTCTTGGGGCTGTTTGGTTCATTGACAGAGCTTCTGCCCCAAATCACCTTGCTCTCCCCATCTGTCTTTTCCCCTGGGACCCAGTTCTGGAAAATGGGGTTCTTAGGTGGCTACTGGTTAGATTGTGGCAATTGTAGGTTTCTTGTGGAGAAGCCCTAGCTCTGATGCACCTTTGGTGGTTACCCCCATATAAACCACTAGGCTCAGACAGAGCTGTGTGAGGCATCTAGGTGGAATGAGGACGGGTCCCGTCATGCCCAAGGCCATGTGGGAGATGGCAGAATGGACAGGGATGGTATATTTGCAAATGTGTCATCACTGACCATCAGTGCCATACCCACCTCCCCTTGGCCCCTGTTGATAGGACTTCAGGGTCTGCTGCTAGCCACTGCAGGCAATGAGCTTCTTTTGTCATGTTACATGTCCTCAGTCTGCCTTCTATCTTTACCCTCCCTGGCTTTGTCACTGAGCCAGGCTGTTTTTAAAGAAGCCAGCATCTCTGTGGTTTTCCTCAAATTTTGTTGGATCTATAAATAAAAGCAAATACACATACACATATACATATACACATATACACGTACACATATACATATACACATATACACGTACACATATACATATACACATATACACATATACATAATTGAGGGAACAGTTTTCTGAGAGGCTACAAGATTTTTCACACACATATTCACACACATACATACCACACACACCACACATTTACATACACTACATATACACATACACATATACATGTACACATATACATATACACATATACATATACACATATACATATACACATATACATATACACGTATACACGTACACATATACATATACACATATACACATACACATATACATATACACATATACACATATACATATACATATACACATATACACGTACACATATACATAGGGTTGAAACTCATTGTGTATGGGTCCTGTATTTGAAAATGTTCCCAATTACTACAATTTACCAAAAACTAAGCCTTGCCATACCCTGGCTGTCATTTATGGGCCTGTGCAAAGTTGTGACAGTCACCCGCAGCGCATGCTCTCAAGAAAGGCTGAACAAGGGGCTGTGCTGCCTTCCATTCTGGCTCTCATAGTCTAAGCAACTGTCTTTGGGTTTTGGTTTTGTTTTTCTCTTGGATGCCGAACCCCAGACCTTAGGCATGCTGGGCAAGCACCCTTCAACCGAGCTACATCCCCACAGGTGTCCTTTTAACAGTCACTGACTTAGCACTATGATTTTGCAATTTTTTATTATTATTGGTGATTTCACTACTTAAATGACTCATAAAGTTAGTGTGAAAAGTGTTCTCTGGAGTTTCTTGAGCTCAAGAAAGACACGCTGTGCCTTGTGGAGAAATAAAATATTTTATTTATTTTGTTTTATTTTATGTGTATGAATATGTTGCCTGCATGAATTAAGTGCATCCGTGGCCTGAAACGCCCATGCAGGTCAGAAGAGAGTGTCAGGTTCCCATGGAACCGGAGTTACAGACAGTCGTTAGCTGCCATGAGGATGCTAGGAATTGAACCTGGGTCTTCTGCAAGAGCAGCCAGTGTTCTTAACTGCTGAGCCAGCTCTCCAGCCCCGCTTCTTATTCTTCTTCAACTCATTTAAATTTCATTTGGAATTTTCCATTTTAGTACAGTTCAGGTAGTTGCCTGTTTGTTTCCCAAGAGGTGGCTGGTACCTTCTCTATATCTAGTATCACCTCCTTGGGAGCGCAGGGATGAGTATGACCAAGTCACGGCCCTTAAGGAGCTCCCTCTACCCCATCGTAGGTGCTCTCGGAAAGATTCTTGCCTTAGTGTTGGCGCTTCGGATGCTTTCTAAGCCCAGGGACTTGTCTGTTCAACCACCAGTGTTTGGTTTGGCTTCTAACTGTTGAGGGGCTCATTATGGTCTTCCCAGCAAGTCCAAGATTCAGTCCAGCTAAGGGCAATTATGAAGTTTGAAGTCTGGGCCATGGTTCTGTTGTGGTCAGAAATCTGAGTCCATTGCTGGTCAGTTCTTCTTCCATGTCCTGCCTCCCTTCTGGGTACATGGACATCATCAGAGAAAGATGATATTTCCAGTGTGAGTAAAAGGTCTGGAAGGTTAGGCTTGTAGATAGAGTTTCTTGGCTATTTGTTGACAACCAGAGCCGAAGAAAGGGCCAGAAAGAGAAAATATGTAAATCTACCACAGATTAATGGGTTATCCACAGACAGATGTGGATGAACCTTTGATCATGGATGACCTTATCTAAGGCCTGCTATAAAAGGAAAGGCAAGGATCAAGGACAGAGAAGAAAGGCAATGCGACAGAGAGCAGGGCTGATGATGACGTCTAAAAGGTGGACCTGGACACTGGATTGAGAAACAGATTGTCTTTCTTTTGGCTTCTCTCTCCCTATTGATATCTGTTAACTAAAATATTGTAGTCTGGGGATGCAGCTCAGCTGTCAGGCGCTGGGGACAGCTCACTGGTCGGGCGCTGAGGACAGCTCAGTGGTTGGGTGCTGGGGATGCAGCTCAGTGGTCCAGCACTTGCATGTCTTGTATGAGGCCTTGGCTTCAATCCCTGACACTGTCAAAAACAACAATAAACATTGTGAAGCTAAGTAATGTAAAGCACCACAATAGCAAAATCAGTGTGGAGAAATGTGTTTTCATTTGCCTCAAGGTTCTCAGAGGCTTGCTAATGATGGGTCCTCCAGAGTACGGCGGGTAAAAGGCAGGCTAGTGTGAATCCAGGAACATGAAGAATGTTTCAGGAAGATTACACAGGCTTTCAGGATGATCACACCACTGATATCTGTAGTTCTTCTAAGAATTCTGTCATGAAGAGAAGCAGAGAAATGGGGCAAATATCAAGCCAATTAAAACTCCAAGTACTTAAGCTGGGATAGTAAATAGAAAAGATGGGAACAAAGGCCACATGGGGCATAAAACGGGCACAAGTAAATAACTCACCAGAAAGTCGCAGCTGCTGAAGAGAACCATGTCCAGGTCAGCTGTGTCGCCCCACACATGCTGCAGGGTATGAATGAAAGAGGACCAGTGAGCTTCCAGATGGATGGGTTTATGGAGTCATGTGCTTGGGAAGAGGACATGGAAAGGGAAGGCCAGTGAACTGTCAAAAAAGACAGTTACAGAGACACTAAGAGGATCTTGCATTTTGTTTTGGTCATTGTTGTTCTTTAGGACTTTGGTACTCTAACCTGGGCTACTTGTGTGAATTCATCCTGGTGAATACCCTGGTGATCCGCTCTGTGCTTAGGTAGGCAAAATGGGGTAGAAGGAGCATGTAGATGGCACATCCCCCCACCCCCCACCCCCAACC